GGTACAGCTGCAGTTTTGTAGTTATCTCTGTAGAAGAGAGGACCTCGGACACTGGAACCACTGGTGATTGGAGGGATACGGGGAATCATAGGATTGAGAGTGAGAAGAGAAAACACAGAGCAAAGTGGCCTGCGGGGAGTGTCAGCGAAGTGCTGGGTCACAGTGCTACAGGGGGAGTTAGGATGAGGACCATAAAAAGGGAATTAGAAGATCTTGATACCCCGCAAGAGAGCTGATTAGTAGAGATGGGGGAACAGAAGCCAGATTTTACGGAATTGAATGAATGGAGAGGGTGAGTGCATGGAAACGGCAGGTGCGGACTGTCTCATGTAGTTTGGCAATAAATGAGAGTGAAAGGACTGGTAGCTGGAAGCTGTAACGGGTAAAACAAAAAAGAAAAGGTTTTTTTTTTCCCTTAGGATATAGAAAACTAGAGCATTTTGTGAACTAAGGTGAAGGAGTCAAAATTCCTAGCATGGCGCAGAAAGTCCTTTGTGAGCTGTGCCCTGTCCCATATCTACTCCTCCGGCATCACCTTTTAAAGCTCTCTGCTTCAGTCAAACTGAACTATTTTGCTCCCCAGCAAAGTGAGGAACCATTTCAACAAGGCTAGCTCTCACTAGTGCTCAGGATTCCTCACATCCATCTTGCTAGTCATCCCACAACCTGTTACTCAAAGTGATATTGGAATCACGTGGGAGCTTGTTAGAACTGCAGAATTTGGGGCCCTCCCCAGATGTACTGAAGCAGAATCTGCATTGTAACAAAATCTCCAGGTGATTCATACAGTGCTCTGAAATTTAAGAACTGTCCCACAAGATTATTGGACAGTTAGCCCTTTGAGAGCAGCCACGGGTGTATGGTTTTTCTTTTCTCTCCAGTTCCTTGCAAGGGGTCTCCATTAAATACTAGCCAACAAATGATGCTTTCATGTGTTCAACATATTTACCAAGTACTTAGTGGATGGCCAGTACTGTTCTAGGTAGGGGAAGCATCAATGAACCAGGTAGATAAGATTCCTGCCTTTATGAAACTTACATTCTATGGGAAGAGACAGACAAATATGTAAACTAAGAATCTCAGATATGAGAAGAAAATAGAACAGGGTGATGGGATATAGAGGGAGAGGGTGTTAGTGGGGAGATCTATTTAAAATATATTGGTTTTAGGCCATGTTTGTTGAGTTGAAACACGAATAATAAGGAAAGCTAGTGTGCCTTATTGCAAATACAGAAAGAAGTCTGTCATGAAAAAAGTAAGGCAAGATGTTGTACGTGATGAGGTCAAATAGGTAAGCAAGGGCTAGATTATACTGAACAATGAGTATCAGTGCCGTTAGAACCACTGCCCCTTAATTTAACAAATATGTAATAACACCTCCTTTAATATCTGAATTGAAAGAGATCATGTAACCTACACTCAATACTCTAAAATATAAAGAAGAAATAAAAGGAATATTTTTAATTTATAATAATATCTCAATATGATAATGTTTACTCACAACAACACGAGAAGACATAATAAAGTCAACTGCAACTTAATACATAAAATTACTTTAAATGTGACAACAAAATGCAGACCAATACAGGTTTATTGCATTGGTGCTTCAACTCATGTCCTTAGTGGCTAACTCTGGCTGAAGTTTTGAGCAAAATAGAGTGTGATCTTCAATTTTCATAGTGGTTACATTCAAGAAAAATACATTGTAGAGTACAAAGTACTTCGTATTTACATATAAAATGGAGAGGGTTCTAGGCTCAGCTAGTTATAAACAGATTCTGTACTTACATGGGTATCTCGTAGGATAGTTGATCTCACAGGATATAGGAGAATGCACCACTGTGTGGGACTTTCCCATACACCACAGGACATTAGGACCCTTGGGCCCCTATCCACTAAATGTCAGTAAGAGCCCTCTAATAATTGTGACAACTAAAAAAATGCCTCTTAAAAACAATAGGAAAATTTTTAAAGATTGGATGATGATGTAAATGCATTTTAAGATAAAGATGGGAGTTTCTAGCTCACTTTGGATGGCCTCAGTCTTCTCAGTAAAATGACTGGGCCTGAGAGGGTAGAGGACTGAGGGTGGAAGAGACTGGGAATACCTATTATGAAGAGTATACCAAGGAGTACCCAGGAAAAGAATAAAAGGATTTGAGAACAGCAGTGAAGACCCTTAGCAAGAGTATGAATTTATACCAGTCAGCTTTATTATATGAATTCCTGGAGCCTTTCTTGATAGATAAGGGGTACCTAGATTTATTTAGGATTGATGGATTGGTGTAGTGTTAGTTCAAAAGAGTGCTAATGAGACCACAGCTGATATAGTTCAGCCTAGAAGAGAAAATCAGGGGAAACCACTGGGAACTAAAACACCTGGGAAAATTGGGACGACCCAAGGGGGATGGATGAAGGTCCCATTGAGGGCAGAAAGCAGGTTCATTTGGAGAGTTGGAAGGGTTGGAAGTCATAGTCCTAGGAAGAAATGTCTGAGTTTGAGACCTTAGTGATAAAACAGTTTAAAGTGATGGTGAGATTCAGGTCTGACAGTGCTTTATGAATAACGAAGTTAGGATGAAGATGAAGGTCATTACGGGTGAGACTGTCAGCAAACTGAAAACCTAAGAACACCATTTTTTAAAAATAAATTTATTTATTTTATTATTTATTTTTGGTTGCATTGGGTCTTCATTGCTACACGCGGCTTTCTCTAGTTGTGGCGAGCAAGGGCTACTCGTCGTTGCGGTGCGTGGGCTTCTCATTGCAGTGTCTTCTCGTTGCAGAGCACGGGCTCTAGGCATGCAGACTTCAGTAGTTGTGGCACACAGGCTCAGTAGTTGTGGCTCACGGGCTCTAGAGCGCAGGCTCAGTAGTTGCGGCGCACGGGCTTAGTTGCCCCACGGCAGGTGGGATCTTCCCAGACCAGGGCTCGAACCCGTGTTCCCTGCATTGGCAGGTGGATTCTTAACCACTGTGCCACCAGGGAAGCCCTAAAACACCATTTTATTATGAAACTTGAAAGGAAGGAGGCTCGTGAGCCAGGTGTCCTTTTTTTGTTTATTTTGTGATTTCTTTTCATGTACCTAATGTTTATGGTACCGTCTCCTCATATTAGAATGGAAACCCCATGAGGTTATTCTCTTTTGTTTACACTTTATCCCAACATCCAAACAGTGCCTGGCACATAGTGTTCCATCAATAACTGTTGAATGATTGAATGAATAACAGCTACCATTTATTAAGTACCTATCAGAAATATGCAAAGTGCTTTATACATTTATTTCTAACTCTGCAAAGTAGATGTTTTTATCCCCATTTTACAAATTAGGATGGAAGCAGAGAGGTAACAGACTGCTTGGATTTTAATCCAACTCTGCCTCTTAAAAACTGTGGCTTTGGACAAGTTATTTATATTCTCTGTGCCTCAGTTTCCTCATTTGTAAAACAGGAATTATATTACCTACCTCCTAACATTGTTACAAGAATAAATTAGTTCATACTTATATAGTTCTTAGAACAATGGCTGGAACATAGTAAGAACTGTATAAGTCAGGGGTCCCCAACCCCAGGGCTACGGACCGTTACTGGTTTGTGGCCTATTAGAAACTGGGCCGCACAGCAGGAGGTGAGCGGCAGGCAAGCGAACGAAGCTTCATCTGTATTTACAGCCGCTCCGCATCGCTTGCATTACTGCCTGAGCTCCGCCTCCTGTCAGATCAGCAGCGGCATTAGATTCTCATAGGAGCGCGAACCCTACTGTGAACTACGTATGTGAGAGATCTAGGCTGCGCGCTCCTTATGAGAATCTAATGCCTGATGATCTGAGATGGAGCTGAGGCGGTGATGCTAGTGCTGGGGAGTGGCTGCAAATACAGATTATCATTAGCAGACAGGGTTGACTGCACAGAGACCATAATAAATCAAGTGCTTGTAGACTCATATCAAAACCCTATCAGTGGGCTTCCGTGGTGGCGCAGTGGTTGAGAGTCCGCCTGCCGATGCAGGGGACACAGGTTCGTGCCCCGGTCTGGGAAGATCCCACATGCCGCGGAGCGGCTGGGCTCGTGAGCCATGGCCTCTGAGCCTGCGCGTCCGGAGCCTGTGCTCCGCAGCCGGAGACGCCACAACAGTGAGAGGCCCGAGTACCGCAAAAAAAAAAAAAACAAAAAAACCTATCAGTGAGTGACAAGTGAAAACACGCTCAGGGCTCCCACTGATTCTGCATTATGGTGAGTCATATAATTATTATATATTACAATGTAATAATAATAGAAATAAATTGCACAATAAATGTAATGTGCTTAATTCATCCCAAAACCATCCCCCCTCCACCCCGGTCCGTGGAAAAATTGTCTTCCGTGAAACCAGTCCCTGGTGCCACAAAGGTTGGGGACCGCTGGTATAAGTGTTTGTTAATCAAATCAAATAAGCATAGCCAGTAAGGGTGAGAGTTGGAATTCAAACTGAGATTTGCTAACTCCTGCTTCTTCCACTACACCAAGAAAGTACCACATTACATCATTATACACAGTATCTCTATGTATTTTTAACCAGGAGAAATAGTCTCCTTACAAATATTAATCTTATTTCTGAACATCCCCATATATACATTTTCAGTTATAAAATTTACATGTGGCACATGATTCATTGAGCCCAGGGACTGAAAATGTCTACCAAACATTAGATGTTTCTGCATGTGCACGGGGAAAATAGCATGTGTAGTACTAATCAGTACATTTTTTACAGGTATTAGAAGTTTGATACACTTAGCATGGGCAAGCCTTGCCAATAGAAAAAACAACCCACTTTCTATACTTTAATTACTCACTTATCTCTGTTTCATTTTCATACTGAAAATTAGTGGTTAGTTTCTGAGAAAGTATGTTCACTACAGTGAAATACAATCTGTCTTATGTATACATTTTCCTATTCGTCTTCATGTATAAAGTCAATAATAGACTATCAAATTTTTAATGACTATTCTTATTTCATTTTAGATTTTATGTTTACAATAAAAAGAGACGTCTTGTCAACACACCTTACGTGGATAACTCCTATAAATGGGCTGGTGGTGGATTTCTGTCTACAGTAGGTGACCTTCTGAAATTTGGGAATGCAATGCTGTATGGTTACCAAGTCGGGCTGTTTAAGAACTCAAATGAAAATCTTTTACCTGGATATCTCAAACCAGAAACAATGCTTATGATTTGGACACCAGTGCCTAACACAGAGATGTCTTGGGATAAAGAGGGTAAATATGCAATGGCATGGGGTGTTGTGGAAAAGAAGCAAACATATGGTTCTTGTAGGAAGCAACGGCATTATGCCTCACACACTGGAGGTGCAGTGGGTGCCAGTAGTGTCCTACTGGTCCTTCCTGAAGAACTGGATGCAGAAGCTATAAATAACAAGTTTCCCCCAAGAGGAACAGTTGTTTCTATCATATGTAACATGCAATCTGTGGGCCTCAACAACACTGCTTTAAAGATTGCTCTGGAATTTGATAAAGACAGATCAGACATGCCTTAACATCACAGGTGCAAAACGAGCCGTTATGATTTTGTTTTTGTTTGTTTTTTTGAAACATTAAAGTCCCCAAATACATGAGATTTTAAAGAATAAATTTGTAATAGAGTATAATTGAATGCAGAGAATTATGTACCTCTAATTGCTTAATTTTGTAATTGTCTTTTATTGTAAGATGAATTCTTTATACTCAGGGAAGTAACTATATTTTTACTTTTTGAAAAAAGTGTTAATTCTTGAAATAAAACATTCTGATAAAAATGTACTTTTTAAATGTATAGTATAGAGAAAATCTCATTTGACAGGAACCTCATAATATTGTTCTTTTAATATGACAGCAGAAACAAGATTATGAGAAATGGTATATTAGTTATCTATTGCATCTTAAAAGAACACATATTTATTATCCCGTGGTTTCTGAGGCTCAGGAATTTAGGAGTAGATTGGTTGGGTGGGTCTGGCACCAGGGTCTGTAATGAGGTTTCAGATAAGATGTTGTAGTCTTCTAAAGACTTCTCTGGTCCTGGAGGAAATCCTTGCCAAATGGCTCATTCACTCACAGATCCTAAGACCTGTGAACTGAAGATGTTACTTGTTCCCCACATCCAACCAGACACAGGTTGGCAGCTGCTTGATTAGTACTCAAGGCTTGAGAATAATTCTTGGCTCCTGGCTGTGTTCTCAGAGCTCTTAGTTCTGCCCTCTGAGTTACTGTTTTTTTCATGAGAGGCAATATGTGTTTGCATCTGAGTGGCTTTCTCAGCCTGCTTTCTGCTTGTACAAGTTTGAGGGTCCAAAGGGCTCTTTTGTACTCTCCTTTCAGTCTAAGTTAACAGTCTTCCTGCTAATATAATTTTTAAAAACTTTGTGAGTCCCATTGAGGTTCTTGCTAATCTCATTGAGGTTCATGCTAATAAAAAGAAGCCATACCCCCAAATCTCTTCAAAATATACCCCTCTCTAACTTAGAATTCTGCTGAGACAATTGGAGAAAACACTGTTAAGCTTCTATTAAGGCCTATTGTTTAAATAGCTTTCGAGGCACCATCTTGGTTCTTTCCACAGTCATAAAGGGTTTTATAGTCATACCCTCAACTTTGTCTTTAGACTGTTTTTTTTCCTGGAAGTACTGTAAATTTTATCTTTGCTTTGAAATTGTTTCCTAATCTTAGCATCTTTTGCCATCTGGGGAGTCTGGGAACTTTCCAAACCATCAATTATTGATTCATTTTTGTTTAGTAGTCCTTCCTTTAGCTTCTCTCTCTCCTTCTTTTTAGCATAAGCAACAAGAAGAAGCCAAGAGTCAACACTGTGTCTGGAAATCTCAGCTAGATTCACCCAGTTCATTAGGCATATTTTCTACTTTCTGTGGTCTTGCAGGCAACAGTGTTGCTAAACGTTCTGCCACTGGAGAACAATATCCTCTTTCCTCCAATTTCCAGTAACATTTTTCCTTACTCTCCTTTAAGTCCATGCCTGCAGCCTCCTCAAAGGCCACCATACTTCTAAACAGTTTCTTCAGGGTTCCTCAGGCTTTCACTGACACTCTTTTCAAAGTCCTTTCAACTTCTGTTTACTGTCCTCTTCCAAATTCACCCCCACGTTTCAGGTGTTTGTTACAGCTGCACTCCACTTCCAGGTATCAAAGTCTGTAATGTAAAAAAATAGGTAATTTCACATAGAATTCACAATTCACATACCTTAAAATTCAACCTTTAAAGTGTACTGTACAATTTAGTGGTTTTAGTATAATCACAAGATTGTGTACCCATTCAATTCCAGAATATCTTCACCCAAAAAAGAAATCCTATACCCATTAATATTTGCTCTGCATTCCTGTCTACTCCCGGGCCCTGGCAACCACCAATCTACTCTCTTGTCTCTTTGGATTTGCCTCTTATGGATGTTTCATGTAAGTAGAATCATATAATATGTGGCCTTCTGTGTCTGGCTTCTTTTATTTAGTGTAATGAGTGTTAATTATCTATTGCTGCATAACAAACTACCCCATCTCACAAATTCTCTGTTTCATAAGTTCTGGGAGCAGTTTAGCTGAATAGTTCTAGCTCAGGGTCTCTCCTGTGGCTGCAGGCAAGATGTCAGCAGGAGTTTCAGTCACCTGAAGGCTTGACTGAGGCTAGAGGATCTCATTCCAAGATAGTTCACCCATGTGGCTATAGGCAAGAGGCTTCTGTTACTTGCTGGCTTTTGGGAACAGGTCTCAATGTCTCACTTCATGGACTTCTCCATAGGTCTGCTTGACTGTCCTATGGCTTCCCTCAGATTGAATGATTAAAGAGAGAAACAAGGCAAAAGCCACAATGTCTTTCATAATCTACCCTTGGAGGTCATACACTATCACCTATGCCAAATTCTACTGGTCACACAGACCCACCCTGATTCAATGTGGGAGAAGGCTACACAAAGGCTAAATACCAGAGGATAGGGTTCATTGGGAACTATCTTGGAGACTGGCTCCATGGATGGCTTATTGTAGTGTTGAGGTACTGGGAAATACTGTGTAACAGCCATAGATGACGAATATTGGAGACTGAATTCAGGAAAATTCAAAAAGAAATCAAAGTTTTTATACAGTCTAATAAAAGAGGGCTTTTCTATAGTTCTGAGCTCTCAGCCTGTTTCTTCCCTCCACTTTGATCTGTGAAGGTAAGTAGATGGATATTTCTGAGGGGTCAAAGTACAGCGAAAGCAGCTCCCTACAACAGATGCATTTCATCTCCTTATTTCTTTCTGGCTTCTCCTGACCTTTAGGTCTTCTATTCATATTTGTCAAATTTTTCAATCCATGCTGTCTTTGATAAATATAAAATGCCTTCCTTTAATGTTATTCTAAATTTTAAACATTAAATATTGTGACTAAAAGCAAATCAAATTAATGGCAATTAAAAAAATACTTCTGATATTGGCAGATACATGTTTTTAGTTTGATCATGTGATATCAATGTGAGCTTTGAACCTTAGCACAGACCACAGAGCGAACTGCTTGGAGCTGCCAAGGAGGTGACATTTACATTGGGAGAGGAGGGAAGAGCATTGTCTGGGTGTCCGGGAGAAGTGCAGCGTGACTGAACTGTCTGTGCGGGAAGAACCACGAAGTGTGAAGAGCCCTGTGAAGTTAGTGAATGTGCATTATGAGCAGGGTGCTTGCTTTAGACTGGTTTTTCACCTTTTAAATTCTTGTTGAAGCTCGGAGAAGAGCTGGCAATCTTCTCAGAAAATGAACCAATGTACAAACATCAGGGGTTCACAGACCTCAGATGGAATTCCTATTTGCTATGATAACTTATTTTCTTACTTAATATTGTTAGAAACAGCATTGATAAATTTCTACATCTTCCAAAGTGGTAATTCTGGTGTGGATCCTTAATATTAGGGAAAAGAACACAAGAGAACTTGACACAAATTTCTTGTTTTAGTTCTTTTTTTTTTTTTTTCTGAAATTTACAACTTGTCAAGGTGATTATTGACAACAAATGATTTGCTTTACCTTCCTATCACAGAATACAAAAGTTTAAAATTCTACCCCAGATTTGAAAGCTGAGATTATGGAAATATGCCTTTGTAATTTTTAATAGAAAAAACATAGATGGGTTAGAGTTCATTGTTGCATTTTATAAAGAAAAAAGATTACTTTTATAGAATAATAACCTCACCTTGTAACCTTTTAGGATTTTACAGTTACATTTTCATAACTATAGGCTTAAAGAATTATATTGTTATTTGCTATTGATTCAGGTTCAAATAGTCTGAGTTCTGTTTCTTAGAGGATACCAGAATAGCTAATTGATCTTTTATTTTGTGAAAAGAAAAAAAAATACTAGAAAGCACAAAAGGTTCACATGGCAAATACCCATATAATCCCAATACCCAGAATTTAAAATGTTAACATTTAGTCAAATTTTCTTCATTTAAAAAATACTAGGGACTTCCCTGGTGGTGCAGTGGTTAAGACTCCGTGTCCTGGTCCAGGAACTAGATCCCGCATGCATGCCACAACTAAGAGTTTGCATGCCACAGCTAAGGAGCCCACGTGCTGCGACTAAGACCCGGTGCAACCAAATAAATAAATATTTTAAAAAATACTAATAGATAAATCATAATAGATAAAGCTGAAGACCCCTAGAACCACCACCCAAAGTCCCACTCCTTTTGCCCTGCAGGAATCTGCTGTCAGGAGTTGGGGTATATCCTTCCAGTCCCTTATTTAATACTTTCACAGCCAAGTATATATATTCATATCTGATATAGTATTAAATTGTATTATTTACATTTACACAAATAGCACCATAGTATAGATGTTTTCTACACTCTCCTTTTAAATTTAACATTGTTTGGTGATCTGGTCAAGTTGGTAAATATAAATTCAGTTTAACTGCTATGAAATATTACACTGTATGACTATATCACATTATACTATCCATTTTCTTATTGATGGATTTTTTTTTACTATTATATGCAGTGCTATAAGGAACATCCTTTGACCGTATGAAATTGCAGTTTTTCTACCTCAAAAATGCATGAATATAAACAATTTTATATGGTTGAACCTAATTCTGTTGTTTATATGACAACACTGACTTTCAATTCTTGACTATGCAATGGATGGGAACTGGTATCTGGTTGTTTTTACTTGCATTTACCTATTGTTAGTGAAGTTAGACCTATTTTCATATGTTCATTGGCCATCTGGATTTCCTCTAATGTAAATTTCCCACTTATATTCTGTGCTCATCCAGAATAGGGAAATGAATACAGCATTTCTTTAAGAATTGATTGTGGACATGTTCATGGGTTAGAGAATGAATAACCTTGATAAATATTGGAGTTCTCCCAACATGTGGTAAAAATTTTAATAGCCACAAATTCCTCCCATTCCATTGTGCATGCTCCTTTGCAATGTGATTTTGCCTCTCTTCTCAACTAGAGGTGGTGTCTGTTTCTCCACTCCCTTGAACCAGAGGTGGCCTTGTGACTTGCTTTGACCCAGGGAAATGATGTTGCACAAGTTCCAGCACTTAGGCTTCAAGAGGCCATCAAACTTGCATCTTCACCCTCCAAGAACACTGCCCCCAAGACGGCCACGTAAGGAAACCAGACTACCTTACTGGATAACCCAACTGACGGCCAGTACCAGACATGTGACTGAAGCCATCTTGGACCTTCCAGTCCAGTTGAGCCTCCATGCATGAGTGAGCCCAGGTAAGACCAACCCACAGAATCATGAAAAAGAATGTCGTCATTATTTTAAGCCACTAAATTTTGGGGTGACTTCCTTTGCAGCAATAGTTAACACAACTATGCTCCAGTGTGGTAATGAAGTGGGTAAATAATTTGGAAGAAAAAAACAGAACTTGAAAGTGCTTGATTTTGAATACAAAGGATCCTTTTTTATTTAAAAGAATACTATTAACAGAGTACTTACTATGTGTCAGGCATTGTGCTAAGCACTTTATATATGTTATCTTCAAAACAACCTGATTAAATAGAAATTATTGTACTTATTTTGCCCAAAGTCACACAAGCGTTAACCATTAGAACTCATTTCAAATCCAGGCATATCTGACTCAAAAGCCTGTTCTAAAATTATCTTGTCTTCCCATAAAAAAAGCATCTCTAAAAATTTACAGACCCAATAAAAGGACAGTTAGTGGCATGCAATTTTATAGATGGAGCGCTTAGCAAAAATAAAAAAGTTAAGTCACATAAACTGAATAAACATGTAATTGGGATTTTAATTAGTAAATCTGGCTGCAAATAAAAAATACACAAGTTTTGTTATTAATATGCAAATTAAAGACAAAGATGGCACAGTAGAGTCATGCTTTTACACACCCCCTCTCTTATATACATAGCATGATATATAAAATGTGAAATGAAAAAATGAAAAAGACACTCATGGACTTCAGAATACAAACACAAAATATCGACCAGGGCTGAAGCTGGCGTCTCCTGAGCTCTGGGTCCAGAAGGCAGTGGCAGCTCCAGTATTCTGTTCCTGTAGAATAAGCGAAACTAAACCTGCTTCCCTAAGAAAAATGTAAAATGTAGGCTTTTAACTAAATCGGACAGGACTAGTCTCCCTAATTTTTTTCTAATGTGAGGATTTGCTAGGTAAGAAAATAACAGTCAACCTGGTATAGGTCTGCTATGAATATTGGGGTACATGTATCCTTTCGAATTATGGTTTTCTCCAGATATCAATATATGCCCAGGTGTGGGATTGTTGGATCAAATGGTAACTCTATTTTTAGTTTTTTAAGGAAACTCCATACTGTTTTCCATATCTAATTAGATAAATTAGACTTCATAAAAATTTAAAATGTTTGTGTTTCTAAGGACAAAAGGTGAAAAGACAACCTACAGAATGGGAGAAAATATTTGCAAACCATATATATAAAGGATTTGTATCTAAAATACGTTAAGAACTCTTACAACTCAAAAATAAAAAGGCAACCCAGTTAACGATGGGCAAAGGATCTGAATAGACATTTCTCCAAAGAAGATACACAAATAGCCAATAAGCACATTTAAATATGGTCAACATCATTAGTCATCAGGGAAATACACATCAAACCCTAATGAGATAACTCTTCACACACACTAAGATGGCTATAATAAAAAAAATAGACAATAGCAAGTATTGGCAAGGATGTAGGAAATTGGAATGCTTGTGCATTGCTAGTAGGAATGTAAAATAGTGCAGCTGCTTTGGAAAACAGGCAGTTCCTCAACAAGCTAAATACAGAGTTACTGTATGACCTAGCAATTCCACTCCTAAGTATATACCCAAGAGAATTTAAAACATGTCTACAGGGCTTCCCTGGTGGTGCAGTGGTTGAGAGTCCGCCTACCGATGCAGGGGACACGGGTTCGTGCCCCGGTCCAGGAAGATCCCACATGCCGCGGAGCGGCTGGGCCCGTGAGGCATGGCCGCTGAGCCTGCTCAATGAAGACAATATAAATAATAGTATTAAAGAAAAAAATTCAGTAAATAATGTATGTGGCAAACCTTGAAGTTTGGAAAAGTCTGAGTGTTTTCTACTGAGCATTTTTCAAACCCAGTAATATGTTTAGATTAATAATGAAGTAAAACTTAATATACCATTCAGTTCCCAGTGCCAAGTATCTCTTTAAATTAATCCTTAGATAGGTTCTTTAAAGTACAATACTTTCTTCCAATACTATTTCCAAGAACATTTTCAGGAATTTGCTCCTTATTTACCACAGATTTTTCCAAGGTTCCTAAACTGTGCAAGCTGAGGTGGCTTGGAGCATCATGGGAGAAACATTGATACTTGACATCTTTTGGATACCATGCAAACTTCTAGTTCCAGGTAATTGTTACATTAGATAGCACCACATTCCCTTTGATGATGTATCTTTGTGAAGCTGGGTTTTGAGCCATTTCTGTGATAAAAAGCTAGTACTATGCAAAAATCAATGTGAAAAAAAATGAGGATGGCAGTGTCCAACATGATCCCAATTTTGAGAAACTGCAGTGCCCAAAAGGCACACTCATTCCATTAGTAGGTAATTTAAGAATGAGGTAAAAATTATCACTTTGCTTTTAATTTATGTGTTCTTTTTTTTCAAATGGCTACTACAGTTGCTAGAACCTAACTACTTAATAAATTTAACTGTTAGGTATTTCTTTTGGCCAGGGCACTCCATGAAAAAATTACTGAGACTAAAGATGCCATAAACCAAGAAAGTTTGGGAAGCTCTGAGTTATTTATTTCTCCATATATTAAATACGCTCCAAACTTTCCATAGTTCTTCAGTTCTCATGCAACATTCCTCTGATATACCAATCAGTATGTTAAAGGATCAGTCTCTCGGATTGGGGGTGTATATATGTAGGAACACCTCTTGATAGGAAATGACTGTCTTCAGTGCCTGCCTTAAAGGTAACAGGTAAAAGAGAAGCAGTTATCTTCCCAATCTAACGAGCAGTCATATAGGTGCTAGAGAGGGAAAGATACACTCTACCCCCTAACTCCCGAGGGCCACTTCATAAACCATAAAAGTGACAATGAGATAACAGAACCACTCAACACATTTTTCAGTCAGGAGTGCTCACCTGTCTGGACCAGAGAATTCAATACCATCTACTGCCCCCTGCTAGAACATCCTGGGTAAATCATGCTACTCCTGATTCCTCCTCTCAAATTTTCTGCCCCAAAAAGAGCTTTCTATAACTCAGACCCCAGCTGCAGTTACTGTACTAAAATATACAGTATGTTATGGGCATATAAATCCAGTGATTATTACTGCATTAAATATGTACTTCTATAAATGTTTCCATAGTTACAATACCAAAACTATATTTAGAATTAATAAATAGTGAACTTCTTTCCATTTGTAATCATTTAGCCCCCTCACAGAAATTTGGAAAAGGACTGAAAATCAAATATTTAAAGTTTCTACTCCTGAAGTGAGACACAAACTAATCAGAATACCCTTTTAAAAATGTTTAAACCAAATTCATATACACAGCATATATAAATGTATAGTACATTAACACATACTTGAAAAAAAGAAGTTTGCCCATAATCAAAACTTTATTGAAAAACTGACAGCAAAATAGGAGAGCGCTGTTGTATACCTTACAAAATTAAACATAATTACATTATCTTGGTAGATTAACTGGAATTACTGAACTGATAAGGCTTTCTGTGATAGAACACAAATTCAGGAAGTTGTGTGGATCATTAGTGTTGCTTTCTTCTAAATGAACACCCTGCAAAGGAATCACAAGAGCATATTAAACACAAGTCTATTCTATCTTTGGTACAGTTTTAATGACAAAAAATACTTTTTACATAAAAGCTTAAGTTTTAGAAATACTAGAGTAATATTCATATATAGGTTATTTATTTTTTTATACCAGAAATTTGCTAAAAGATATCTTTTATATTTGAATTTACTCTGATGTGACTGTCACTCTCTGTTCTCAAATGTTATAATGGAGTTCAAGAAAATAATTCTGATTAGAGTTCATTTCAGATCTTTTAGGAAAATTCTGGTACAGATGCACCCTTTTAATCATCTGTCGGCACATGGACACAAAGTTCTAAAATCATGGCATGATATAAAGGTTTTGGCAATCTTGCAAGTACATTTTTAAGAGCAATACTGCATTTAAATATTGTGTTAATTTCAGTTAGATCTCACAAAGTGACACCAAATAGATCTTGGATTTATTGGCAATCCACTTATAACTCTTCCAATGAGAATAACATGGAATTCACAGCTCCTCAAAATACCACAAGCAAATTTCAAATATCACTATTGAACTGTAAATCTCTAAGTACTACTATGGAAAATTATATACCTATGTATTATTTTTTCTTCACAAAAGTGAAAGAATTAAAATTAGACTATATTAATCATAAGTTGCTCAGAGAAATCAAACCTCTGACATTTTCATATAGTTATCTGTTGCTTAGCTAGCAATGATTAAAACTATCTTAAATCATATGTACCAAGTACATTTGAAACAAAATATTTACAGGAGAAATTTTTAAATCCTATGTTTTTAGATATCTTATGTATTTATTCTTTTGCTCCATTCTGATTTATGTCTAACATTCCAAGTTAAGCAAACTGACTAAATACAACAGAATCAGGTGCTCTAAACTAAGAAAAATAATAGATAAAGCAATTCTTTACAAGGTCAAGAGTACAAACTTATCTAATTGAACAGGGCACTCTTTACTAAAAGAGCAATAAAAGATAAAAATTATTTTGGTAATTATGAATTTAAGATTTCTTTTAAACTGATTTTTAGTAAAGAGAGAGATTTTAAAATCATAAAATCTGATCACTGGGTTAGAAAATGCCAAATGATTTACCTTCTGTGAGTCTGGCCTTTCCTCCTGTCGGCTGGCACAACACGGTTGAACAACCTACACAAAGCACCACTGTCTGAGCATGGCTGAAAACCGTGGTAATCTTGTAGCAGCCTGAAAAAGGGAAGTGTTAAAAGTGAAAAGCAGAAAAAAACACAGTACCTGTTCAACATATTTCTAGTAAAGACCCTGTAAAAGATTAGGAACTTCAGTGCTGTGCAGTAGCAAACCATATATGTAACAAACTTCTCTAGTAGCCACATTAAAAACAAGTTGTTTTTTTTTAAAGTGAAATTAATAATATATTCTATTGAACCTCAGTATTTCCAAAGTATTATTATTTCACCATATAATCAAAGCCTTTTTGTTTTCAATGCTACATCTTCAAAACCTGGTGTATATTTCACACTTAAAGATACAGCATAAAAAAAAGATACAGCATGGTGACTATAGTCAATAATACCATATTGAATATTTTAAAGTTGCTAAGAGAGTATATCTTAAAAGTTCTTATCACAAGAAAAAAAATTTTGTAACTATGTATGGTGACAGATATTAACTAAACTTATTGTGGTGATCATTTCCCAATATATACAAATATGAATCATGAGATCACACACCGGAAACTAATATAATGTTTTATGTCAATTATACCTCAAGAAAAAAAGAATGAGAAAGAATTTTTCCATTTTGACTAGCCACATTTCAAGTACTCAGTAGCCACATATGGCTAATGACCACCATACCGGACCCCGCAGCTTTACACTGAAGAATCAATATACTTTTCATTGCATCGTGAAAAAGAAAACTTATCATCTGAACAGCTTAAAGACTTAATAAGTCCAATGTCATGTCCCCTGTGGAGTCCCATCTTCACACACACACACCCCCACCACCCAAATGTTTCTAAAGTGGTTTATTATGGAAATAACCCTTATGACATTCCAATTCTGTAATCCCACTTCGGGTCCTAATATCAAAACGTAACAACACACTATGAGTAACCCTTACAGAAATTCTGTAAGTAATCCTTATAGAAATTTTCCTTAGGAAAGGAGTTAAAGTTTGAAATTTTACCTGGACATTTTACATCCATAAAATAAGAATTTGGACTTTGAACCAGCCGTTTCTTTTTATGTTTTTTCTTTTCCTCTTCCAAGGAAGGATGCAGTAAATCTCTAGCCAACTGAATAAAAAAGCATATTATTACTACTAGAATGACACCACAACTCTGGCCGATTTAACCATATGTGAAATATACATGCAAAAATAGGAATAACAGTCATATTCAGCAGAGACAACACTTTAGATGTTACTTATTTTAAAGCCTGTTAACTTTCATCAACACTTTTTATAATGCTTGTGTGCTCCAAGTTCCGGTTAAGGGGAACGATCAGGAAACATGTGGTAAGGTTAGCTCCGTTCTTCTTAACTAATAACAGTCGCCAGTGAAAATAAAACTGTGGTGCTAAGTAAGAACGTGATCCGGACCCTGGACCCGCTGAGAGTACAAGTCGCTGAGGTAGACCCGGCGAATGCCAACACCGAGGTGATTTCTGCCCCCAGGGTTCAACATCTGATAACTCTTTTAAGTGGCTGACGCGAGACGGTCCTTGATAATTTGTAAGGCAACTGCGAAGACAGTTTTCAAAAAGGAAACAAGTAGGAAATCGCTTCCGAGAGAAGGCACAGGGGGCAAGACCCACGAAGCAAAAGGAGTGCAAGAAGACTTCAACGGTCACAGCCTCGCGGGTTCCCACCGAAACCCAGGAGGGCTGACTAAGGTACCCACCCAGGAGGGCTGACTAAGGTACCCGGGGAGCTGTCCCCTCCCAGCCATGGACTCCAGACTGCACCCAGGGCGGCGCCGGGTGCAGTCCCAACGGCTCCACGCCCAGGCAGGGCCCGACTTGCCGCGCCGCCGGGCAAGTCCCAACAAGTCCACCACGCGCGAAAGAGCCGCGGGATCCGAGCCGCCGAGCCGCGTTCGGCCGGGAGCCCCGGGGGCCCGCGGAGCCATCGAGCTAGCCCGCCCCTGGGGCCCCTCGGCCTACAGAGAAGGCAGACACAAACGCGAAGCCCGAAAGTAAACAACTCACAGGCATGTTGATCCTTTCGCAAGCCCAGCCCGTGCAGATCTCTAAGGCGACACCCCAAGCAAGCAGCACGCGACCGGGAGCGCGGCGTCAACTTCCGGGATAGAGGAGGCTGGGAGGAGCGGAGCAGCGGGCCCGTTGACTCTAGGCGCTCCTCTCTGTGGTGAGGGCTGGCTCCGGCCGGGATCCGCGGGCGGCGGGCGAGGGGAGGTGCCGAGCCCGTTGCCCATTCGAGTTCCAAAGCCCGCGAACCTAACGGGCTCCTGGGCTAAGGCCGCCGTCCCCAGGGTTTTGCCCTGGGCAAGTGGTTCCTGGGGCCGGGCTCAGGCGGTGCACGCCCGGATGGGAAGCCCCCTCGGGCTTCGGGAGCGCCGGCACCGCTGCAGAGCGGACCCGGCTGGGCACGCTTGGTCACTTGTCGTAGGTCCCGCCGCCAAACCTTCCGCTCTCGGCTGCCCTGAGGGCGGGCACACGGGTGATGCCTCTGTTCTTTTATGTATTAAAAACAATATTATTAATTAAAACCATTAACACGTGCTAGCGAGATTATGAAAGAAGCTCGTTTACTTGCGCATCCTGCTTCCAAGGTACCGGTACCGGTTATTAAGTTCTTCGCGGGATGTAGCTGTGCCTTGGGTTTGCTTGGCCTTGAAAAAAGTTTTTAAGAAGCAGCGATTCGTTGCCGTGCTTAGTTCATCGTGTGGCTCCTTGCTGTCCTCCGTGGGTCACACTTTCCAGAGCAGACAGCTGGAGCATGAAAAAAACAGCGAGTGTCGCCGATGGCCAGACTTGAAATATTTTTGATGAAGAGGACCATCCTGTGAGTGCGTGTGGTCAAAAGCTAAGAAACCAAGGAGACGCTTCATCAGAAAATTGTCCTAGATAGACGTTCTAGATCGATTTTTATTTCTCTTCGAAAACATAGTACATGTGTAATGTACATTTTGGAAAATGCAGAACAACAGAAGAAAATTTAAATCACCATCCAGAGATAAGCATTATTAATATTCTGACCTTTATCATTCCAGACTTTTTTTTATTCACTTGCATGTAGGTTTGTTTTGGGTTTTGGTATTACATAATTGGTATCATCTTGTACATATTCTTTTATAGATTTGATCCCCTCCCCCCACAACTTACTGTATAATGAAAATCACTCGATGTTACTACATGTTCTCCTACACTATGACTTTTAATGGGCACATAGCATTCATCCTGTGAATATATGTCCTTATTTCATCCATACGCTATAATAGACATTAGGGGGACTTCCCTGGTGGTGCAGTGGTTAAGAATCTACCTGCCAATGCAGGGGACACAGGTTCGAGCCCTGGTCCAGGAAGATCCCACCTGCCATGGAGCAACTAAGCCCATGCGCCACAACTACTGAGCCTGAGCTCTAGAGCCTGCGAGCCACAACTACTGAGCCCGCATGCCACAACTACTGAAGCCCATGCACATGGAGCCCGTGCTCCGCAACAAGAGAAGCCACCGCAATGAGAAACCCGTGCACCACAAAGAAGAGTAGCCCCCAGTAGTGGCAACTAGAGAAAGCCCACATGCAGCAACAAAGACCCAACACAGCCAAAAATAATAAATAAATAAATAAAATAAAAATTCTGTCTGGAAAAAAAATAAAGTAAAATAGACATTACAGCTGGGTTTTAAATACTTAATATTTAAAATATTAATATTATATACTTTCAGACAGATAAGTATATGGAATAATACAATTGTGTATGCAGAATCATGGCCCCCAAAGACTTCTTAATCCCCAGGACCTGTAGTTATATAGCAGGTGGGAATAAGATTGCTAATTAGCTGGCTTTAAACTAGGAAAATTATCCTGGATTATCCTTAAAAGTGGAAGAGAAAGAAAGAGAGAGACATGTGGTGATGAAAGAAGAGCCTGAGAGATGCCATGTTGTTGGCTTTGAAGATGGAAGAAGGGGATGGTGAGCCAAGGATTGCAGGCAGCCTCTAGAAGCTGGAAAAGACAAGGAAATGGACTTTCCCCTAGAACCTCCAGAAGGAACATAGCCCTGCCAGCACCTCAATTTTTCTCCCAGTGAGACCCAGGTCAGACTTTGAACTACAGAACTGTAAGATAACAAATCTGTGTTGTTTTATCTATTTTTAACATTTATTTATTTTTTTGAATACAGTTGACGTCACATTGTATAAATTTAAGGTATACATGTGTTACTCTGATATATTTATGTAATATGGTTGCCATTGTAACAATAATTATCACATTACATTCTTACAATATTCTATGTTCAATAAACTGTATATTAACTCTTTATACACTAATGATGAAAAATCCGAAAGAAAAATTAAGGAAACACTCCCATTTACCACTGCAACAAAAAGAATAAAATACCTAGGAATAATCCTACCTAAGGAGACAAACGACCTGTGTGCAGAAAACTGTAAGACACTGATGAAAGAAATTAAAGATGATACAAACAGATGGAGAGATATACCATGTTCTTGGATTGGAAGAATCAACATTGTGAAAATGACTCTACTACCCAAAGCAATCTACAGATTCAATGCAATCCCTATCAAACTACCACTGGCATTTTTCACAGAACTAGAACAAAATGCACAATTTGTATGGAAATACAAAAGACCCCAAATAGCCAAAGAAATCTTGAGAAAGAAAAACGGAGCTGGAGGAATCAGGCTCCCAGACTTCAGACTACTACAAAGCTACAGTAATCAAGACAGTATGCTAAGTATGGTATTGGCACAAAAACAAAAATATAGATCAATGGAACAGGATAGAAAGCCCAGAGGTAAACCCACGCCCATATGGTCACATTATTTTTGATAAAGGAGGCAAGAATATACAATGAAGAAAAGCCAGCCTCTTCCATAAGTGGTGCTGGGAAAACTGGACAGTTACATGTGAAAGAATGAAATTAGAACACTCTCTAATACCATACAAAAAAATAAACTCAAAATGGATTAAAGACCTAAATGTAAGGCCAGGCACTATAAAACTCTTAGAGGAAAACATAGGCAGAACACTCTGTGACATCAATCACAACAAAATCCTTTTTGACCCACCTCCTAGAGAAATGGAAGTAAAAACAAAAATAAACAAATAGGACCTAATGAAACAAAAGCTTTTGCACAGCAAAGGAAACCATAAAAAAAGATGAAAAAACAACCCTCAGAATAGGAGAAAATATTTGCAAATGAAGCAACTGACAAAGGATTAATCTCCAAAATATACCAGCAGCTCATGCAGCTCAATATCAAAAAAACAACCCAATCCAAAAATGTGCAGAAGACCTAAATAGACATTTCTCCAAAGAAGATATACAGATTGCCAACAAACACATGAAAAGATGCTCAACATCACTAATCACTAGAGAAATGCAAATCAAAACTACAATGAGGTATCACCTCACACCAGTCAGAATGGCCATCATCAAAAAATCTATAAACAATAAATGCTGGAGAGGGTGTGGAGAAAAGGGAACCCTCTTGTACTGTTGGTGGGAATGTAAATTGATACAGCTGCTATGGAGAACAGTATGGAGGTTCCTTAAAAAACTAAGAATAGAACTACCGTATGACCCAGCAATCCCACTACTGGGCATATACCCTGAGAAAACCATAATTCAAAATGTGTCACATACCACAATGTTCATTGCAGCACTCTTTACAATAGCCAGGACCTGGAAGCAACCTAAGTGTCCATCCACAGATGAATGGATAAAGAAGATGTGGCACATACATACAATGGAATATTAGTCATAAAAAGAAATGAAATTGAATTATTTGTAGTGAGGAGGATGGACCTAGAACCTGTCATACAAAGTGAAGTAAGTCAGGAAGAGAAAAACAAATACTACATGCTAACTCATATATATTGAATCTAAAGAAAAAATGGTTCTGATGAACCTAGGGGCAGGACAGGAATAAAGACACAGACGTAGAGAATGGACTTGAGGACACGGGGAGGAGGAAGGGTAAGCTGGGATGAAGTGAGAGAATGGCATGGACTTATATACACTACCAAATGTAAAATAGATAGCTAGTGGGAAGCAGCTGCATCATTCGGGGAGATCAGCTTGGTGCTTTGTGACCACCTAGAGGGGTGGGATGAGGGTGGCAGGGAGGCACAAGAGGGAGGGGATATGGGGATATATGTATGCATATAGCTGATTCACTTTGTTATACAGCAGAAACTACACAACATTGTAAAGCAATTACACTCCAATAAAGATGTTAAAAAAAATCTTTATGGCTATTTTAGTACTCGTTACAAGTTTGTACCCTTAAACACCATCAATCTTACCCCCCCCTTCCCATTCCTTGGTAACCACCATTTTACTCTGTTTCTTGGGGTATTTTTTACAAGTTTGATTTTTTTAGATTCTACATATAATATACAGTACTTGTCTTTCTCTGTCTGGCTTATCTCACTTAGCATAAGGTGCTCAAGGTCCATCCATGATGTTGCACATAAATTTGTGTTGTTTTAAGCCACTAACTTTATGTAGTAATTTGTTAGAGCAACAACAGAAAATTAATACAATAATGAATACCCCTCTACCCACCGCCCAAATCTGTCAAATATAACACTCAATACTCCATCCCCACAATTTTTCACTATTAAAATAACGCTATAGTAAACATTCTTGTAGATAAGTCTTGGTGTCCATCCTTGATCATCCTTAGGATATTCCTAAAAAGGAATTGCTGAGTCAAAAGTTATGCACATTTTAAGATTTATAATATAAACTGCCAAATTACCCTCCGGAAAAGTCAAACCAATTTACAATCCAGATGTAAATGTCTGAGAATGCCCCTTTCTTCACAACCTTGACAATACTGGATATTAAGTTTTTCCCTGTCTCAGTCAATCCAAAAGAAGTAAATGGTATTTTGTCATAATATCATGTATTATGGAATAGTAAATGAAACTTTGCTGTAAGTCTTCCATGAAAATTGAGAGTAGTTGTTTGCAAGTGTCTGGACTTGTCACTGTCTTCCCCTAATTTGAGGGAGAACGTTGTGTTGTCAGCTCTCTTGTGAGCCAGATGCAGACATTTTAGAGACCCATACACATTCTCTTTCTCAAAAAATTATCTTACACTATCACTACAAATTACAAAAAAAAAAAGCCTGTAATAACAAACAGGTGTGAAAGACTACGCTCATGGTAAACACTGAAAATGTTTAACTTTTGGAAAAGCTGACTATGCTGTCTTCTCATTTCCCCATAGAGCAGTAAAAATACTTCACCATCTACTAGAGTTTGGGAACTACTCTCTGGAAAGTCTCCAAACACATGCAGGGATAAGACTGAGTATTAAAGGAAATTCACTTTCCTGTAAGCTCTTTAATCTCTTCTTCCTACCTAAGATTTCAATTCTTTGCACATAACTATATCCTTTTCCATCCCTTTTTTTTTTTTTTTTTGCGGTACGTGGGCCTCTCACTGTTGTGGCCTCTCCTGCTGCGGAGCACAGGCTCTGGACGTGCAGGCCCAGCGGCCATGGCTCACGGGCCCAGCCGCTCCGCGGCATGTGGGATCTTCCCAGACCGGGACACGAACCCATGTCCCCTGCATCAGCAGGTGGACCCTCAACCACTGCGCCACCAGGGAAGCCCCCATTTTTTATTGTAGTAAAATACACATAAAATTAACCATCGCAAAACATTTTTTATCATGTTTCACTGTTGTCTTCATCAATATTTTTCAAATGCTTATTGGCCATTAGCACTTCTAAAGTGAGATGATCATCTATTTCTTTATGTATCCTTCTAGATTAACGATATTAACCACTGGTCATAAATACTGCAAATATTTTCCCAACTTTTTTCCTATTAAATTTTGGCAATTTTTTAATCATAGAGGAATTTATATATATTTCAAATCTATAATTTTTTTCCTTTTTGCTCTTGTGTTTAGACAGGCCTTGGCCCCCTTAGGATCAGCTAAATATTTGCCTATGCTTTCTTTTAATTCTTTTGTTGTAGTATTTATTCTTTAACTTTTTAATTAACCTGGAATTTTTTTTCTTGCCGTGCAGCTCAGCTTGCAGGATTTCAGTTCTCCAACCAGGGATTGAACGTGGGCCATGGAAGTGAAAGCCCAGAATCCTAACCACTAGCCCACCACAGAATTCCCTAACCTGGAATTTATTTTGGCACTTGATGTGTAGTAGGTCTCAGAACAATTTCTAATCATCAGGCCTAGTTATTGCTTCAGTTACTTAACCAATGCCCAGTACAGTCACATTGTCAAAAGCCTTCAACTTCTGAGACACTGTAATAGTGTGAGAAATAAAACTCAAGGTCAAGAAGACCTGGACTCTATTTATAACTCTGCCTCCTCGTCCAAAGCTCAGTTTCTTGTAACATGTCCCCAGGCCCTTGCACTGATGGCAGATAAAGGGACATGCAGGCAGGTGCAGGGACACAGAGTCCCTTTGCCTTGGCAGCCTACTCTCAGGGCCTGCACAAGGAGCTCCTGCCTGGCTTCCCAAAGGACTGAGAAGTGCCAGTTGAAATTCTGTGTGCTGGGGACTTCCCTGGTGGCGTAGTGGTTAAGAATCCGCCTGCCAACGCAGAGGACATGGGTTCGAGCCCTGGTCTGGGAAGATCCCACATGCCACAGAGCAACTAAGCCCGTGCGCCACAGCTACTGAGCCTGCACTCTAGAGCCCTCGAGCCACCACTACTGAGCCCATATGCCACAACTACTGAAGCCCACGCATCTAGAGCCCGTACTCCACAACAAGAGAAGCCACCGCAATGAGAAGCCGGCGCACCTTAACGAAGAGTAGCCCCCGCTCTCTGCAACCAGAGACTTTCCAGCTGTTCTATCTGGCCAGGTCTGAGAAGGTGCTGCTGAACCCTCCTTTTCAGCACTTCACCTTAAGTGTGCGGCCATTTCCACCCCCTTCCTCCTTTGCCAAACTTCAGACGCTGGGAAAACTCACAGGTGTTCAGGGTAAGCCAGGAACCCACTGATGCTAAACTTCAAACCGGCCAAAACCAGTTCTAAATAGGTCAGTTAGCCACTTTCCCCTAGGTTGGAGTTCCTCAGGCTTGTGCCCTTCTTTTCCCAGAAAGATGGTCAGAGGTTTAGTTTAGTCTTGATGTTTAAGAAATTCAGGGTGTGAGGTGGGGCCCTAAAGTTAACTTTTCTTACCCCTGCCTTTCTAAGTATTTTTCTGAGAAGCTCAAAGAAATCCACATTGTCAGGAAAACTTTAACAAGGCAGCATTCTTTTTCTCTTCCTTCTATTGTCCACCTGTTGGCAGGTTGCAAAGCATGTGTGGCTTATTCTCAACACATTCCTGAAAGCAGCAGCAACTTCTGAAACCCACCTCTTCTCTGCACATCAGCTCTCCAACAGGTTCACAAATATTATCCCCAGAGCTCTGCTGTTCGGGTTGCGATTCATCTGCCACTCATGAGGATCCTTGACACTTCAGGTAAGCTCCAATCTTAAGGGGTAAGAGTCTCAGATGCAAACGCTGGTGTCATTTTCTTTATTTTCCATACCAACTTAATTTCTGACTGAGGCTGAGCCCCCATTGGGCTGGTACTATAGACCAAATGTTTGCGTCCCCCACAAAATTCATATGTTGAATCCTAACCCCCAATGTGATAGTATTGGAGGGTGGGGCCTTTGGGAGGTGATTAGGTCATTAGGATGGAGCCCTCATGTTGGAATTGTTGTCAAACCCAAGTTCGTGTGCCCGACACGCAGTGAGGCCAAACAAACTGAAATGCTGGAGTTGGGATGAGAGCAAAGAAAGGTTTATTGCTGGGCTGAGCAAGGAGAACAGGCCACTTGTGCTCAAAAGACCTGAACTCCTCAGTGGGTTTCAAGGAAGCATTTTTTTTTTTTTTGCGGTACGCGGGCCTCTCACTGTTGTGGCCTCTCCCGTTGTGGAGCACAGGCTCTGGAAGTGCAGGCTCAGCGGCCATGGCTCACGGAGCCCGCTCCGCGGCATGTGGGATCTTCCCAGACCCGGGCACGAACCCGTGTCCCCTGCATCGGCAGGCGCACTCTCAACCACTGCGCCACCAGGGAAGCCCCTCAAGGAAGCATTTTTAAAGGCAAGGTGAGGGAGGGGAGTCACAGGGTGTGTGAATCGAAGAGTTGTGGTTGATGGTGAGGTAACAGGGTGGGGTCACAGGGATCAACATTACCAGTCCTTAGGCTCCAGTAGGTCTGGGGGCTAAGTGCTTATGGTCATCAAATAGTTAACTTCTTCCATTTGGTGGCGATTTTAGCATCTGTAAAACAACTCAGGAAATGTGCATCAGATATTGTTATTCAGGTACTTCAGGGAGGAACTAAAAATTCTGTGACTGCCATATGGCTGTTTGACTGTTTAAATTCTTAGCAGTTCTCCTGGCCCAACTGCTAGTTTTGTCATTACATGTTCACATCCTTTCAATCATTAATTCTTGAGGCAGGCTTTTGTGACTCAGCGGAGGCCTGGGAGACTACAGCTTTTCTACAAACAAGAGGGCGGGGAGGACATTGAGTGGGTGGGGGGGTCTGTTCCGGGAAGGCCCCATAGGGTCCTACTCCATTATAGAATTCATGCCCCAAAGAGGCCCCAGAGAGCTCCCTCACTCCTTCTGTCGTGTAAGGACACAGAAGTATGCCTTCTATAAACCAAGAAGCAGGCTCTCACTAGACACCAAGTCTGTTGATGCCTGGATCTTGGACTTCCCAGCCTCCAGAACTGTAAGAAATAAATGTCTAGTGTTTAAACTACCCAGTCCATAGTATTTTGTTATAGCAGCCCAAACAGACTAAGATAGCTGGCCTGGCGAACACTTCACCTCATTCTTGAGGATTGTGCTAAGTTTCCTGTATGTGTCCCCCACCAGGTCTGTGCCCATCCTTCGCCCTGCTCTATGCCCGGGAGGCTGACTTTGATGGGCCGTATCAGCTGGCTTCTCTTGCCCTCTGGTTTCTAGACCCCTTTTGAATGGGTCATCTGTGATCTGCCAGTACCCCCTGACAGGATATGCTCCCCTTTTAGTCTAGAAGGCTTTGCAGATGGGGTCCATCTGCTTCTCGGTTGTCAGTCTAACCAGGTCACTGCACAGATGTCCCTGTCTGTGGAACCCTTCAGGTTTGACAGGTCATGGCTCCTCCTATCTGTTGCTTTAGATGGATACGAGAATCTTAAGGTAGACGGCCTAGGTTTTGGCTATGCAGATCTTTGCCAGTTTGTGGACCAGCAGCATTGGGATCACCTAGGAACTTTTTGGAAATGCAGACTCTCAGGCCCCATCCAGACCTACTGAGTCAGAACCTACATTTTAACAAGATCCCCTGTGATCTGTGTGTATATCCCAGTGTGAGAAGCCCTGGCCACCACACAGCCACTCTCTCTGGAGTCTTCCTACCTCCCCCATGGGGCTGTGGGGAAGCCCGACCCAGATCCCTACTACTCCAGGGTAGCAAGTCAAGGCTATTTCTCTAGATTGGAGCAGGGAAGTTCCCCAGCTCTCCTGTTTCTCCAAGATACTTTGTTCACTCTGGCAAATTTCATTCTCTCTTATCGTGTCAAGGAACCCTTTAAGTCAATGATACTCAAACTTGATTGCTCATTAGAATCACCGAAGGAGCACCCTAGGTCAATTAGAGTATTTGGGGGTGGGACCCAGGTGGCAGTGTTTTAAAAACTCCCCAGGTGATTCCAAGAGGAGCCAAGGTTGAGAGTTCTCTGGAGGGCTTAAAAATTTCAAAAGCAAAGTCCAGGAAGAACTCCAGGCTACTTTTGCTTAAAGGTAGAAAGCGGGAAAAATACACAGAGAGAAACATCATTAATAATTCAGAACATCCAGGCTCAGTAGCCACGTGAGCTGTCCCAGCACCATCTTGCTGGTCTTGATCATCAGGTCTCTGGCTCTCATCATCTCATCTCTCTGGCTACTTGCTGCAAACCCTCTCATGATCTGCTCAAGTCTCCAGGGAAGAAAGTGAGCTCCTTGGAAACCAGGTGCTCTCTCAAACTTCATTGTCTTCCCACAGCTCATAGTGAAGATGCTGAGGTCAGCGTAAATTTATGCAAATATAATCGCTCCCTTTTCTGAACTCCTGCAATGCTTATTGCCTGCGTTAATTGTTTCTCAATGACCACCGCTGTCTTGTCTGCTTTTCCTTTTTAGTCTCTCGTACTGCAAATTCACTTTCCTTATGTGTATGTGTCTCTGTCTTCTCTTCCCTAAAAGCCCATAGGCTTCTCAAAATCAGGATTTGGTCTTATCTCCCCCATGCCTACTACAGTGCTTAGTAAGCACAGAACTCTGTCCATTGAGTGACATACTCAGCAGAACTGACTTGTGGTCACTCTCTGAGGACTGTTTCCCTCCGGGTTTATCTAGAACCCTTTTTTCTGGTCATAACTTTACTAGGTTCTTTTTTTTATTATTATTGAAGTATATTTGATTTACAATGTTGTGTTAATTTCTACTGTACAGCAAAGCGATTCAGTTATACATATATACCCGCTCTTTTTCCTATTTTTTCTATTATGGCTTATCACAGAATATTGAATATAGTTCCCTGTGTTATACAGTAGGAACTAGGTTCTTCTTAATGCATGCCTTTGGTCTTTCCTCTGCCTTGACTTGGTGTGATGAAAACATCAAAAGACAACCTAATTCCTGCTAAGCCTCCATTAACTTGTTTCTAAAATTGGGAAAATAATTCTATGTCATTGTAGGGTTAATGAGATATTACAGGGAGCTCTGCCCTTGGAATGTACGTAGAAGCAAAATAAATGAAAATCATTCTGATTTTCCATTAGATAAAAGCTGCTTAAAAGGCTAATAGGTCAAAGGGCTCAAAGTATTAAGAAGAATGGTGCTCTATTTATTCACATTAAAAAACTGATTCAACTATGTATGGAATGTCTGCTGTATACAAAGCAGTAGGCAATGTAAATCCTGTTTCCTAGGATCACAGAAACTTTTTAACTCTAATAGCCACTTAACCACTTGAAGTTGTTTCCCCATCTGTAAAATGAAAATATTTATACCCATCACATAAGGTTAGATGAAGATAAAATGAGAGAATGCTTGTAAGGTACATAGTATACTGCGAGTGCTCAATAAATGCCGACTATAATTCCTGGAGCTTGTTGATGATAAAGAAACCAGTTGGCCCTGGGAATCTTGGGCTGATGGTGATTTCCCTCATAACAACGCATACAATGCAAAGTTTTTACAATAGTTCTGCCTTAAGGAAGAATATGTTCCATCTGCGGAAAGTACTTGCTGGAGTCTTACCTTTGAATCAAAAGCTGAGAGATTGTTCTTTCAAAATCCAATAGGTGGCACAAGGAGTACTGGCCAGCAGAGAGCTTTATCTTCCCACTTCCAGAGGGCCTTCATCTTGGACATGTCTTCCTAGTCTGTCACATGGTCACTCCATAAGTAGCTGTGCATAACAGACTCTTCAAATATACAGACCATGGTTATTATGGGGTTTCCTTAAAGAAAAAAGAGATGTGGTCTAGAAAGCAGTTGAGAATGAGTCCAGTTTTTCCCAAATACTTTCCCCTAAATATTCCACTCATCTGAAACTAGTTAATTACACTAAACTACTTAAATTCCAAATTGCCCTTATATGAAAGTTAAATACCGTTGTCTATAAATGTATTTCTTATAGAGACACATGGTCCAAAAATCTAGTAGAAGGTCTGTCATCATTATTAACAGTGCCAGCTCTGTTATCACTGGGTGGTGTGGATGCTAAAGCAGTGGGCACTGGTCGATGAGCTGGGGGAAGATGGTCTGCCGTATTTGCTAATTTCTGTAGGTGTTTCCACCATGGCGAGTTTCAAATGCTAAGATGCAGTCCCATACACAGAGCAGGGAAGAGATGAGCACAATATCCTGATCAGGTAATGCCAAAGTCTTATTTTAGAAATATTTCCATTATCATCAGAAGTGCTAATAAAATACCCATATTGACGATTGGGGGCTTCCTTTTCTCTTTCCTCTGATCAAAAAGCAGAGAGTGGGAATGAAAAATGGGAGGAAGAATGGACTACTAGACTCACCCAAACCGAATGATTAGCCTTAAGTAAACAAGGGGTGACCTACTTGATCATTTTACTCACCTGAGCTCGACACATAACAGAGTCAAAACTCTATAAGGTGTAGCTCTCTGACTTGCTATTGAAGAGGTAATATATTAAATACAGAATTTCAGGTTAGGAAGGGACAATCCACCCCAATTTTAGACAGCTTTAATTGCTCCTTTATATCATGTCAAAATCTGCTTACTTCTATGTACAATAGCCAGGACATGGAAGCAACCTAAGTGTCCATTGACAGATGAATGGATAAAGAAGATGTGGCACATATATACAGTGGAATGTTACTCAGCCATAAAAAGAAACGAAATTGAGTTGTTCGTAGTGAGGCGGATGGACCTAGAGTCTGTCATACAGAGTGAAGTAAGTCAGAAAGAGAAAAACAAATACCGTATGCTAACACATATACATGGAATCTAAAAAAATAAATGGTTCTTATGAACCTAGGGGAAGGACAGGAATAAAGACACAGATGTAGAGAATGGACTTGAGGACAAGGGGAGGGGGAAGGGTAAGCTGGGACGAAGTGAGAGAGTAGCATTGACATATATACACTACCAAATGTAAAATAGATAGCTAGTGGGAAGCAGCTGCATGGCACAGGGAGATCAGCTCGGTGCTCTGCGACCACCTAGAGGGGTGGGATAAGGAGGGTGGGAGGGAGACGCAGAGGGAGGGGATATGGGGATATACATATGCATATAGCTGATTCACTTTGTTATACAGCAGAAACTAACACAACATTGTACAGCAATTATACTCCAATGAAGATATTAAAAAGAAAAAATCTGTTTGCTTTTAACTTAAATTCACTTATTGAGGTTCTGGCCTAGCGAAAGAACATAGAAAATACATGTCATTCATTTTCCAAATGACAACCCAGAGCTAATTGAGGATGGGGTTTCATTTCCTCTTTGGATTTACTTCTCCAGGGTGAATATCATAGGCTCCTACAAACAGTATTTGCTGTTTCTCGTCACCCTTTTCATGTTTCTCTGGACATGCTCCAATTTGCCCAGATCCCTCTTAAACTAGGCCCAAGGACTGAACACATGTCCTGCTCAGAATAACAAGGAACCACTATCCATCTTGTTCTTATCATCACCTGTGTATCTGTACAGCCCAAAATCGCATAAGTTTTTTGACAATGCAATGGCATCACACTCTTGATTTACATAAAATTATAACTGACTAAAATCTTACATCTTTTTAACTTATTAATCCTCATATCCCTTATGCTATAATTACATTTTAAGAAATCTAAGTCCAGTGAATATACTAAAAACCATTGAATTGTACCCTTTAAATCAGTGGGTTGAATGATATGTGGATATCTCAATAAAGCTGTTAGAAATATAAGTTCAAGAAAGAAAGACAGATGTGTTTTATTAAATGCTAAATTTGGTGGGGACTTTCCTGGCAGTCCAGTGGTGAAGACTCCACGCCTCCAATGCAGGGGATGCAGGTTTGATGCCTGGTAGGGGAACTAAGATCCCACGTGCTGCGCGGTGCAGGCCCTGCCCCCCCCCAAAAAAAGCTAAATTTGGTATTTTATAAAATAACTGCTATATTTTGACAGGCACATTATCTCATAATATAATTCTTTCAACAATACCTTGTACCTTTGAGTCCTACAGGCATTAGGGAACAGGTGCAAGTGGAGGAGCAAGGATTTGAACCCCGGTCTGCTCGGGATGCCCATGTTCATGTCATGCTCATTCCACCATGCCACCCCGCCTCCCTGTCACCTTGCTGTGTGCAAGGCTTTGTGATTGGTGCCCAGCTGAAATCAGTGGAGGAGGTCTGCCAGGCAGGCAGAGCTGCAGGACCACATGGGTCCTGAGAGGAGTAACAGGTGACATGATAATTGAGAGAGATTCAGTGTTAGAAAGACCTAGAAGGCAGCAAAAGGTAGGTGTCCCATACGTGGAGCAAATATGATTATTGGCAGTGGTGAAAGTGGGGGTGGGGGAATGGGAGAAACAGTGGGAGTGACCTAGACAGTGTGGGCAGTGTGGGACAGACAGGACAAGTGACAGCAAGCTCCCAGCTCGGTCTGCCTTTCAGGGGTGTTACCTGGAGAAAATAGACGTAAGCAAGTTAGAGTCCTGATTTTGAAGAGACCAGGGTTCTGGTCAGGTTATGGAGGCAGGAGCTAAAGCCTGAGGAATCGAGAACTCAGGCTCTACAACAGGGAATTAGAAGAGAGACTCGATGCCTGGTTGAAGGCAAAAGCCCAGAGGCCAGAACCAGGGCATTTGATCAGAGCAGGACAAGTTACAGGATATCCTAACTTTGTCCCCTGCACTACTGAAACAGGGCCTTAAAGCCTTCAGCTAGAGACAGGATTGGGCCCTGAATCTGGGGGAGGGCCAAAGCTATAGATGAATGTCAAGTGGCACAGTGATGGGGACTGATAGCTCCTTAGAAGAGACCAGTGCCTATCGCGTTGTGTTTTGCTTTGTTTCCTGCAACATGCATGACCAATGACAGCTGTAGGTACACGTACCCCTTTAAAAATATTCAGGGTTAGACGCAATTATGGGTGTGCCATCTATAATGCCAGCTGCTTCCTACTACACAAAAAAGCGTTTCAGGAAGTGACTAGGAGAGAACACTGTTTTGGAATAACTATGAATCTGTTCTATTCAGTTTTATCATCAGCAAAAATTACTTGTATGCATGTCTGATTTTGGCAGGCCAGTGTGATGGGATCCCCCTGGGTGGGCATCCCCATGTGGACCCCGCCTGGTGTGGCCTCTCTCTCAGTGCCAGCTCACTCACTCAGCCAAGGCTCCTTGGGTTTCACGTAACAGATACAGTTCAAGGTTGCCTGAGCTAAAACAGAGAGTGGACTGGACATGGGCCAGAGCCGGAAGGGCAGCTGGGCCTCAAGGGGGTTAGAACAAAGCCCTGAGAGGCCCATGGGAACGCAGACAGCTATTCTCTTGCCACCTCCCCTTTTCTCCCAGGGGCGACCTGGTTTCTCATCTCTACTTCTCGCTGACGCTTTTAGTCATCTTTTGCTACATTCCAGTTTTTTCTGCCTCCCAGAGTACATCGTGAAAATGGCCATGCCAGCCCCTTATTGTATGCTGTCCTAGATCTAGGCCAATAGTGACTGACCAGAAGGGTTGTGTCCGCATTCCAGACGTCCTGCAGACAGAATCTCAGCTTGGGTCAGGAGCGTCTCCTCCAATCAGCCGTAGGCACTTGGCGTGGTAGTGACTCCTGGGGCCCACCCCTGTGGAAGTGGATGCACAGAAGCTCTTTAAAAAGGAGGCACAGACTGAACTAAGACCCCCTAAGGTGCCTACTCCCTCCAAACTGTTGTCAAGGCAGCCAGTGGCTCTAAGTCCTCCCGTTCAGACTGCCTCACTGTAGCTCTGCCTTCAAACACTGAACAGTACCTAAACATAGTTTGTTAAGTGAAAAGGCCTTCATCATGAACTTCATTGATGATGAATGTCTGCAACAAAAACTTTTGTTTTCAAATCTAGGGACCACACATTAAGGGGAGAAACCAGTTTAAACAAAAGACCCACCAAGGACATTGGAAATGAGCCTGTTTACAAGGATCCACATCGCCTAACAATATATTTTACAACCAACAGAATTACTGAGGCATATGTACAAGAAGTTAATTTGCAAAGTGCCTTTTTAAACAGCCCTCAAATTATGTCTGAATGAAAGCTATCTTATTCATACTTCTCTAGGTATCCAAAGAATAAAACCTGAAATCAAAGACTAGAAGCAGAAAATCTGGAGGTTCTGACTTACATGGGCTCCTGCTTCAGATTAATAAGGTAACATTAATGGAACCATGGGGCAGGTTACTAAATCTGAAGGCTGTACTCTTAGGCTCTGAGAGCAACTGAGACTCCTTCCCCTATAATCTCTAACAATGATGATGATGAGGAGGATGAGGAGGATGGTATTATCTGAGCACTGATTTTGTGCCAGGCACTGTGCTAAACACTTTGCATAGATTATCACATTTAATCTTTATAATTTCTCTATGAGATAGATTAGGGGTCCCCAACCCTGTTAGGAACCGGGCCTCACAGCAGGACGTGAGCGGCGGGCGAGTGAGCAAAGCTTCATCTGTATTTACAGCCGCTCCCCATCGCTCGCATTACCGCCTGAGCTCCGCCTCCTGTCAGATCAGCAGCGGCATTAGATTCTCATAGGAGCGGGAACCCTACTGTGAACTGCGCATGTGAGGGATCTAGGCTGCGCGCTCCTTATGAGAATCTAATGCCTGGTGATCCGAGGTGGAGCTGAGGCGGTGATGCTAGTGCTGGGGAGTGGCTGCAAATACAGATTATCATTAGCAGACAGGTTTGACTGCACAGAGACCACAATAAATCAACTGCTTGTAGACTCATATCAAAACCCTATCAGTGAGTGGCAAGTGAAAACACGCTCAGGGCTCCCACTGATTCTGCATTATGGTGAGTTGTATAATTACTTCATTATATATTACAATGTAATAATAATAGAAATAAAGTACACAATAAATGGAATGTGGTTGAATCATCCCGAAACCTTTTCCCCACCCTCCGCTCCACATCCCACTCTGTGGAAAAATTGTCTTCCATGAAACCGGTCCCTGGTGCCAAAAAGGTTGGGGACTGCTGGGATAGATAGTATTATTTTCCCCACTTTACAGATGAAGAAACTAAGGCACCATGCTAGTTAAGGTCTCATGAATGGTAATTTGCAGAACAAGCATATAAACCCAAGTCTGGCTGAAGCTGAAGACCTTAACCAATATAAAATACTTAGATCGTCCAACAAGAAATTTTTGTGAAAAGTTGAAAAGGAAGCTCCCTAATGGACAGTGGGAGTTCCTATCATTTTTTATCTCACGAGGAGTTTTCATTTTCAATGCATCTGAACAAGTTCTTGGGGGTTTTGTTTTTGTTTTTGTCTCCTATAAGGAAGGCACTAATGTCAAGGGTAATGCAAAAATGATTACGACCCTCTTGGGTTTCTCAAGGAGCTCAAGGTCATCTAATCCTTAACAAGAGGCGGTACAGAATAGTTAGAACGCTGAATATGGTGTCTCATTCCAGTAACATCCTAGCTCTAGGAGATGAAGGGAAGGAATGATCATGTCTACTAAGTATATAAAAGTTACGATTTGCTGCTGTTAGCTGAATCATGTCAGGGGACAGAAATCCCGTTAGCCAAAGTAATCAACAATTCTCAGCAGGACCAGTACAACTTCTGGTTAATCATGTACCCGTGTCTTTAAGTGAACTGTGGGTTGTGATCCTTATGAATAAGACACAAGACTAAAGGAAGGAATGGATCCTAGACAGGACTGATCCTTGTGGCCTGTTCTCAGTAAACACTGTCCCTGAAGAAAACACCACTGCTGTGAGCTGTCAGCCAGCAAACCGAGGCAGGGACAACAGGGAGAAAGGCAGGGGAGATCTTTGGAAAGAACTCTCCCCTCAGCGTGACACTTTCAATCTCAAGGATCTTTCCAGAACAGTCCCAGGAATAAATGGGTACACCTGTTCTTTGTATTTTGATTGCAGAAACCAGTCCATCATCTGCCGCCAGCTGGACCCAGTGGATCTCAGTGCTGCCTGCCATCAGAAATCTGAACCATGCACCGATTGCTTGCTCTGTGCTCCACTTCCACGACCCAACCCTGCTTTCTGTTCAGGTAAGGCAAGCCCAGCTGTGTTTTTCTGCACCCCTGAAGTCTGCAGCGGTCTGTGATCAGGACGTAAAGTCTTATCGATGGCAGTGGAAAGCAGGATGCACTCCAGATTTTGGATAAAATAGCTCCAATGCTCCTTTTCATTTATATATGACTTTACATGACAAAGCCCATCACATTCATCATTAATTAAGCCCGCCGCTTGGTGCCCTCTGAGGCAGGGCTGAAATAGTCTGCTCATTTTACAGCTGACAAAACAGATAGCAAGGCTTAGGGGTTTGCTGAAGTGAAGTGGTGTTCAACCGAGGAAGGCTGCCCCAATTCCCTTTCTAGTTCATTCTTTTTTGGCCTGGAAGAGGCCTTCAAAGTGCCCAGCTCTTAACTCCAAACAGCTTAAGGAAGTCAGCTGGGAAGAGTTGCTTGGCAGGGGAATGGCAGCTGTCACAACCAGAGCACAGTGTGGGGCTTGAATTCTTTGAAAACAGCCAAGTCATATTTCTCTGGCTCTCAGTGGATGTTAAACACACATGCACATAAGGTTTCTCCTGCCAGGCCAGAGAGCAGGCCAGGAAATGTGGGCAGTTGTAGCAATGTCATATTTGACCTGGTGGAAAGCCGCCTACCCACTACCCACACTTCACCCGTCTCTTACCAGATCCTTTATATTAAAATTTTAAATGAACTCAGAATTGAACCTATTCCAAGAGCAGGCCTAGTCCCATATTTGTGGCATGTGGGGAACAGGAAAAATGGTGGCCCACATATCATGTGTCTAAATATAAAAAAATTATAGCTGAAGCTAACAAGTTAGCCTTGACAGGCCAGTTAGCCTTTCCTACCTTGACAGATATATGTTTATAATGACCTATAAAATCAGTTTGATTGATGCAAAACTCCTCAGAGCTCCACACCAGAATGTGGTGGTTCCAGGAAAGCACTTCTGGCCTGATGTCATTTCCCACTCGCAGGCCTGGCCCATATCATAAAGGGCCTTATATACACACGACGATGATCCCACCCCACATACGTCCAAGCTCCTGCCACTTCGGCACCCCCTCACAGCCACCGCTTTGGGCCTGTGGTACCACACCAATGGCACGGTCTCCCTTTGGAAGGGTAGATCAGGAAAAGAGGTTCATACCAGTCCTGGAAGCAGGGACTTTGGCAGGGAATTCTGGACCTAAAAGCAGAGCAAGGATCTGAGTGAATAAATCACTTGGCCTGTGGATTCCTCACCCAGTGAAGAGGAATGACCAGAAGAGAGCAACAGTAGAGCTGTCTAAAGAGTGGGCCCCAGGGAGGGGCCTCTTGCCAAGACCTAAGAGCAAATGCTATCCAGCCAAATAATAAATCAGCCAAAAGTGTGAGTTAATACTGGAGACGGCACAAATCTGGATACCATAAATAATTTCACTTCAGCTACAAGGCACAGAGGCATGAGCGATTTCAAGTGTTATGTCTGCTGCCTCCCACAAATAACTTACTCTGGGCAGTAGGCGTGGTCTCCAGTAGGTGTAAAGGCCAGAAACCAAATGAATAAGCTCTGTAATTAAATATTTTACTCAAGAGGCTGAGCTCCCATAAAAAAAGCAGATACCAAAGCTCTAGGTGGTGACCCTAGGTTGGGTATCCCTACTATTGCCTCCCCAAAATGGACCAAGTGGGTAGAAGGAGAGATTCCCCGGGCCCCTGGTCGTGTGCTGCATTGGTCTTTGTGGAGAGGTCCTTGGGTCAGCTGAGGTTTCGAGGGGCCGTGGGACAAAACAGACCCCTCTGTCCACATCGCTTCCCTTAGAGTCAGAGCCATGATCCCAGTCCTGGGGCTTGAAATGCAAAGAGGTTAACATTACAAGCTCCCGTATTAACTCATCGATCAACTTTGTTTAAATTAATGATTTACAACATTTAATTTTAAGGGAACCATGTCCACATCTAAAAAGTATTTTTATCATCAAATTCTCAAGGCAAAAGATGTAAATAAGGAAATGTGTAAGATGTATATTTTGATGCTAATTTGTGGCTGTGCTGTATGTCAATGGTAACAGCATTGAATTCTGGATTCTTTTTTTTTTTTTTTTTTTTACTTTTGGCTGTGTTGGGTTTTCGTTTCTGTGCGCGGGCTTTCTCTAGTTGCGGCGAGCGAGGGCTACTCTTCATCGCGGTGCGCAGGCTTCTCATTGTCGTGGCTTCTCTTGTTGCGGAGCACAGGCTCTAGACGCGCAGGCTCAGTAGTTGTGCCTCACGGGCTTAGTTGCTTCGCGGCATGTGGGATCTTTCCAGACCAGGGTTCGAACCCATGTTCCCTGCATTGGCAGGCAGATTCTTAACCACTGCGCCACCAGGGAAGCCCTGGATTCTTGATTCAAAGGCTTTAGTCCAACCTTTTCTGACAGCACTATTCCTAATATATGAAGGACATATTTCCTTAATGATCTTTCGATGGTGGTTATATAAATTAATACATTAATTTGTTTTTCTTTTAAAATGGAGATAAAAATAGAGCCCAAATCAGAATAAAAGAGTCAATTCACACCATCACATAGTGGTCACATCTGTGGAGTGGACAGACAGATCCTCTTCCTGCCCCTACAGCCTTCTCCCCCACAGATCCACTATCTGTTCAGACAGACCCATTCTGTATAGCCAGGGACAATCTGTGTGCCTATACTGACCCCATTTCTGGTTGTCACTTGATAACATGGCCCATCTACTTTTGTGTTGCCACCCACACAAGTATCCAACTTCCTGAAGGCATGCCCTCAGCCTCCCCACCACAGTTCAAGTTTCCACATTATCTGATCCATCCTCCTCACCCATCCAGTTCAGGTGAATTGTATGTCCAAAGAAGGTGATGTGATGCTGTCAATAAGACCTTGCTGGAATGGTACAGTCCTGTCATTGAATGAGAAGAATGACTCTCAGACAATGCTGATGGCTGCTAGTAATACCTGATGTCACTGATATCGAGGAATGTAACCTTTCATTTATCTAGAATAGTTAGGGAACAGGGAGTTCTAATATACTGGATAATCGCTTAACTATAGACTACCAGTTTTGAAAGAAAAATAAACTAATTTGGAAAGAACTATAAATAACACAACAGCACATTCCTGGCAGATCATAATTTTACCTGGCATTGTAATTATTTACGAGTGTGCTCCACCTCCCCTGCAAGGCCATCAGCTTCTCTCCTTTTTTTTGGCCCCGCTGTGTGGCATGCGGGATCTTAGTTCCCCAACCAGGGATCGAACCTGCACCCCCTGCATTGAGTGCAGAGTCTTAACCACTGGACCACCAGGGAAGTCCCACCACCGGCTTCTTTTTTTTTTTTTTCTTAACCATCCTTATTGGAGTATAATTGCTTTACAATGTTGTGTTAGTTTCTGCTGTATAACAAAGTGAATCAGGTACATGCATACATATATCCCCATACCCCCTCCCTCTTGCACTTCCCTCCCACCCTCCCTATCCCACCCCTCTAGGTGATCACAAAGCACCGACTAGCTATCTATTTTACATTTGGTAGTGTATATATATCAATGCTACTCTCTCACTTCGTCCCAGCTTACCCTTCCCCCTCCCAGTGTCCTCAAGTTCATTCTCTACGTCTGTGTCTTTATTCCTGTCCTGCCCATAGGTTCATCAGAACCTTTTTTTTTTAGATTCCATATATATGTGTTAGCATACGGTATTTGTTTTTCTCTTTCTGACTTACTTCACTTTGTATGACAGACTCTAGGTCTGTCCACCTCACTACAAATAACTCAATTTCATTTCTTTTTATGGCTGAGTAATATTCCATTGTATATACGTGCCACATCTTCTTTATCCATTCATCTGTCGACCACCATTGGCTTCTGAAGAGATGGTCTGGATCAGTTTCATCTTTATTACCCTTATAGTACCTGGAGAGTTGCTTTATATATTGTAGGTGCTAAAAAATTTTTTTATTAAATGAAAATATAGTTGACCCTTGAACAATGTGGGGGCTTGGGGTGCCTACCCCACACGGTCAGAAATCTGCATATAACTTTTCACTCCCCCGAAACATACTGCTAAAAGCCTACTGTTGACTGGAAGCCTTACTGATGACATAAACAGTCCATTAATATATATTTTGTATGCTATATGTAATGTATACTCTTCTTATAATGAAGTAAGCTACAGAAGAGAAAATTTTATTAAGAAAATCATAAAGTAGAAAAAAATTTACAGTACTATACTATACTTATTGATACTGTATGTTTATGTTGTCTGTTTACAAGATGAATCTTCTGTCAGTATCTACATCAATATTGTCTTATATGATACAAAACACTGTAGATGTTATCCAGATAACTAACACTATTACCCAAAAACTGGGTTCACCTCTTGGTGGGTGTTGAGCCAAAAGACACAACCAAGCCAAAGAGCAGGAGAAGGAAGGACTTAAGCAAGTAAGGAGCACACTGGGGATCTTTCCCAAAGAAGTGTCTCCACTTAAGCTAAAGGTACATGCATATTTATGTAGGGGCTTGAGCAGAGGAGAATTCAGCATAGAATTGGGCAAAGGTCGACAGAGTCCAAGCTTTAGTTGATTGAAGTCACAAGGGTCAGAAAAGGTCAACATCATCATCCTTTACGTTCTGGTTGATCTGGTGATTGACTGCTTCAGGCTCATCTTTACCACTGAAATAGAACTGGAAGCCTTTACAGCTGATTTGCTATCTTTGCTATTGTTACTTCTCTTGCCTGGTAACAGTCATTTGTTCCTGCTTCTTTTGTTCCCTTAAGATTATTAATTACTGAGATCTGTTTGAGGATAAGCACTGTGGCCAGGCTTAGATCACAAAATGACTTAGGCCAAAAGTGGCTTCTCTTTGTCAAGAAAGCCATGCCTGGTTCTCTTTCTCTGGGGACTCTCTACCCAATCTGCTTACAAAATCCCCCCTTGAGATATTTCACTCTTCAGTCCTGAGGGGTACTGGACTGAAGGTAAGTCTTCTGTAATTGCTTCCTGCTGA